TTTATAATGATTTTCATTGATGATTTATATTATTTTCATTGATGATTTATATTATTTTTAGAATCCTATCATACTGCATGTGTTGTATATTAGAATTAAAGAAATTAAATATTTGAAAACATTAAAATTTTAAGACACATAATTAAAATTTTCAGACACATTAAAAATATATGTAAAATATATATAAAATTATTATAAGTAATATAAAAAAATACTTTTATATAAAAATAAGAGTTTAGTTTATAATCAGACAATTAATTTTTTCGATTTTTTAGAAATTGTAAATGTTAATTTAATTTCTTAATAATTTGATTAATATATTTTTATTTTTATTTTTCACTCATATATCCTTCAAATATTTCATGATTTTTTATCTTAAGTAATAGATTAGGAAACTCTTTTACTAAAACCATAAATTTTGAAGTATCTAGAATTTTTTTGAAATATAATTGGATAGTATCTTTAGTATAATATTTAATAAACTTTTATTATTATATAAATATGCAATTTCTAATATATCTACAACGTTCTTTATTGATACATATTTTATTAGATATTGTTTATAGATTATTATAAGATTTTTTATTTTATATTTATTAGCTGACACAAGTAAATCGGATAGCATTTTTGTTTCTATCTTTTTAGATAAATAACCAGTTTCTATATAAAATAATAACTCTTTGAAAATATTATACGTTACGTCATCTATTTCTATTTCAGTTTTTGTTATTTTGTTTCCTCCATAAAACAATAATTTCAAAAATTTTACTTTGTGAACATAGCATCAATTTATTTGTTTTAATATTAGTCTTCGTTTCTTTGAATGTAAATTTAATAATTTCAGACAATTTTCTCAATCGCATATTAATTTTTTCATCAGTATCATCAGGAACATGCGTCTCTTTTTTTTTTCTTTAAGTAGTGCAACATCTATTTCACATAGTATTGCCGAAATATTTTGCTTAAGAAATATCGTGCGATGTTGATAACAACTCTATTTCTCCAAAAGTAGTTTTTAAAACAATAATATATGAAGCATTAAATAATTCTCCGCTCTCTTTAAGAACATAAAATTTTAATTTATCTTCTTTATAAAATATCGAAACATAATCTGCGACATTATTGGAAAATACATCATTAATATGTTCATAAATATGCCAGAAGTTTTCGATATTCCATGTACAGTTAAGTGATTTTATTGTCACTTTCATATGACAATGATGAATAATATTTTTAATTTGTTTTTCTGAGGAAGAATCTTCTTTATTAGCAATCCTACACATACAATTGATATATTCAAAAACCGATTATTATAAAAATTGAATATACTATAAAATATAATTTTTGTACATTGAGTAGTATATGTTAATACAATAAATAGTTCATAAAAGTCAAATTATTATAACATATGTAGTTTAACATTAATTATATGTTCAAAGACACAATTATTTATCATTGTTCTCAAGGGAATGCTCCAAATCTTATAATTTTAAGGATACAATAAAATCCTCTATCATTCAAAATAATATTTTGTTAAAATCACGTAAATTTTATTTAATTATTATTTACTTAAAAATAATTTAGGAATAGCGAGTAACATCCGTTTCATGGCAAGCAGAATCTTGGTAAATCTTTTGTATGAAATAAATTCAAATAATCATATCACCAATTATTAGAAATATCTTGTTTATTTTTAATTATAACATTTCTAAAAGCAAATATAACAAATTAAAAAACGATAAAGTTAAATAAAATCATTTTTAAAGAAGTTTTTTGCTATATTAAATAAGATACAGAATACATTTTTTATATAGCATTTTTTAATAGCATTACTTGAAGCAATTTCACAGATAATATTTCACAATGTAATACAACATATGTAACATATATATTTAGAAGTCAGCGACAAATTTCAAATTAAAAAGTATAAAATTTGAATGCTTATTTCATCTTTTTATAATGGATGATAACAATTTTTCCTATTTAAACATAACACATTAAATTGTGAATCTGGATTTAACAGAAAAACGCACGTTTTAATTTTCTAACAAATACCAATATGACATTGGTATTGATCAATCACAGGTTTTTACTTCTGTACAACCTCGCTGTCAAAACAGTGTACACAAATATATGTACATAATATATCTTTCTCTTTCTTCAGAACTGTTTAGCATCAAGGAAATTCAATCTTCGCGTAGACGATCGCTTATTATATTTTCCAGGGATAATTTTATAATAACATTAATAATAATGCCTAACTGACATGGACATGGACACGCGGACAAATTGAAACAATACGCCTTTTAAAATTTTAATTAGAATTAAAATTTATATATATATATATATATATAATAATTTTCTCTTCTTTCTAGTAAGAGTGAATAAGATAAATTATTTTATTATAATTTATTATAATTATTTATTTTTCATTAGAATTATATATTACATTGTTATATTACTTTTTATTATAATTATTTACTTTTGTGTTGCAATCATATATTGATAAATATGGATATTTAATACAAAATTTTTTATAAATTATTTATACAAATTCTTTTGAAATTTAAGAATAACAAAGTAAACAACGATTGGAAGCTACTTTTGATTACAATATTTAAGAAGAAAATATCAATCATAGACTATACATTCTACATAGAGATCTTCTGCCTAGAAATTTGTAGCTTATATTTAAGGAGGTTATGTTAACCTAAGTTAAGTTAAAACTTGCATTTCGATCGTGTTTTTGTGTTAGTATAAAGTCATAAAAATGAGTGAAAAAGATGAAAGTGCGACGAAAAATAGCGATCGAGAGAATGAAAAGGATTTGTGCAGAGGAGCAATTAATGGCATTGTCTGCAGAGAGGATTTACATCCGTTTTTTGAACAGAGCGACCATAGCATCAATAAGGTCCATTTTTCGAAGGTAAACACTTTTATAATGGAACATTTTGTATAAATAAAATAAAACAAGGGAATTTTAATAAAATACGTAATTCTGCATGTATCTAATAGCTTCGGGCATGCACCCTCAAACATGAATACATTTTCTGCACAGTTTTATAATTTTGACAAATGATATTTATATATTTGTTATTTTTTTAATATTTTTATATACAATCTCATGTTTTATACATAAGAAGTTTTTGTAAATATTATATCTAGTATTTTGTTTAGCAAATATATTGCAAATAATATTGGATGACATTGGAGGAACAAATGTTCAAAGGCTGAAGAAAAACATAGAGATAATCGCAGTGTTGCTTTATTAATGTGAAATAGGTTCCTCAAATCTGTAAGGACGAACCATGCCAAATTGGAGTCGACGAAGCTGGTCGCGGTCCAGTTTTGGGTCCAATGGTATATGGAATTTCGTATGCTCCAATGTCCCAGAAGCAGCTGCTCGTTGATTTAGGCTGTGCCGATTCCAAAAGCCTGACGGAGAAAAAACGCGATGAAATATTCGATGACATTTGCAAGCATAAGGACAGTATGGGCTGGGCCATCGAGGTGATATCGCCGAACGTCATTGCCAATAATATGTATCGTCGCACCAAGGTCTCGTTGAACGAGGTTTCCATGATGTCGGCAATGAATTTGATCCGGGGAGCGATCGAGGCAGGCGTGAACGTCGCTGAGATTTATGTGGACACCGTTGGCAAACCTGAGTCTTATCAGGTACGGCTGAAGGGTGTATTTCCCGGAATTAAGATAGTCGTGGCAAAGAAGGCTGATGCGACTTATCCGATCGTCAGCGCGGCTAGTATTTGCGCCAAGGTGTCGCGAGATCATGCGATACGAGCATGGCAGTTTCGCGAGGGCAATGATATTGGAACAGACTATGGCAGTGGTTACCCGACTGATCCAGTAACGAAAAATTGGTTGTCCACGAATATTGACCAGGTGTTTGGCTTTCCACAACTCGTCCGATTCAGTTGGTCCACCGCTGAGCAGATCCTCGAGTCGAAAGCACTGACGGTAGAATGGGAGGAAACAGAAGAGATGGAGACTCCCAACGAGCAGAAGATTCTAAAGTTTTTCGCCAAATCTCCGTCTAACGTTCACGCGAAAAAACATTCATTTTTCACGGAACGCTGTCTATCCAACGCGACTGCCTTATGATATTTGCTTTATGCTGATTTCTTTCCCTTTCATTGTAGTCATATAATGGCGTTTTAAAGATCCTTAATTTAAGATAAATTTATAGGAATTATTATTATATATTCTCTTAGTGATAATTTTCAAATAATCAAATGGGACGTGAATGAGACATTCGGAATAAAAGTGTGTATTGAACAATTATATCTTTCTCGGAATGTCTCATATCGAAAATGTATGTAATAAATATTCAATATTACTCTCGACTGTCTTTCATTATGGTTTTATTAGATCGATGTACAACACATTTCAGGAGAGATATATTTACGCGATTTACTAAAGAAAATATTTTTGTAGATTAGAGCTAACGATATCGTTCTCCTTCGTAACTTGACATTTAGCGTTTCATCTCGTTAAATTAAAGACGATTAAAGTAGATGTTATCCGTTTACCGGATTTCATATATATATATATATTGTATATATACAGAGTGTCCCAAAACTCCCGCATTTGGAGTACACTGCGTGATTTTTTATGCTAAAAGAAACAACTTTTTCCTTTCGCAAAATTGCGTGCGACGAGTAGTTTTTACAGTAAATCAAATTAAAAATGATGAATGAGCACGCGTATATGCGTAGCGATCAGGGCCGGCGCGCGTTTCTCAGGCCGGCGCGGCTTGGTACCTAATCTTTGACGACTTCACGTACTATATTGTATTTAAAATATGATAAGAGTTAACAAAATAAGTATTGTTTCCATCCTTTAACGACTTAATAAAAAGATTGTCTGATTTCATAGCTTTATCTCGAAATAAAAATAAATGTAAATAATATGATGTATGAATTGCATTCTATTATTTTAATTACTGTCCAATTGCATATACAATAAAAAAGAATACTGAATTTAACGAATTATTTAGACTTCGTTAAATTTTTTGTTAATTTTAATTATTCGTTAATTTCTTTTTTTCGTTTAATTTATTTTTTAATTATTTTGGAAAATTTGCCATTAAATATACGCGCGAATCACCGGAAATGCTCCAGCCTACGCAAGACAGTTTTATTCACAGAGTCAATGCCTGCATACAAATAAGAAGATTGCACTTCGAACATCTTTTATAAATTTAAACTTTTAATCATCTCTTTTCAGAGTTACAATTATTATTATTAAAACTTACGAATATTTCAGTACATCACAAATGCTTACGAATTGTGTTTTCTACTTTATTTTAACCGTGTAATCAATAGAATGTTTTCTTTTAACGGAATATATAACTTAATAATGGGAAATTGAACTTTTGAACTTTTTAACAATTATAAATTTAATCAAATTGTTTTATGAAGGAAAATTTTTTGCAAAGCATATACGCAATATGTATAATACTTTAAATATGGCTATTTTAATTATATTTAAAATATTTTTTATATTTTAAATATTTTTAGAACAATTTTTAGAACACGTTATTTATATAACGTCTAGATCATAATTATTAAAATTATTTATTTTATCAAATATAATTTTTTCATACTTTTCTTATTTAATAATTTTAACCTTTAATTAATTTTTTAGTAACTTCTCTTGACAAGATATTAGAAATAATTTTACTACATTTACGAAA